CTATGAAGACCAAGATGGTGTGGCCTTTTGTATGGTCGCAGTCCCTTTTCGTTGTATAGAAGTTGCTTGACCTTGTTTTCTCAACTCAATCAAATTGATAGGAAGACATAAAGAAATGCACATAGTCCGAAGTCCAGAATATGCATGATAATTTCCAGAGATGGACCGTGGACTGGGTAAATTTCCAAGCCTTTCGCCGGCATCATCAGCTAGGCTTGCTAGTCTTAGCACCACGCTACAAATCGTCAAAGAGGCAAGTAAAGCCGACACTTTTGACCAATTTTCAGGTAAGTAATTGTGGTCTCTCCTGCCCTGGGCTGTCCGCCAATCCTATATCCTCGTATTGCCCCTTTACTATAAGAATTATCTATTTAAATGTGACATCATGTGCCATTTTTAGCGGATTTCATGAGAACTCTCCAAACCCCACGCTGGCTTTCTTACATTCTCCCTCGGCAATCCTCTTACCATATATCTTATCAGAGTCTTCCTCTTGCCACTTAGGATCCGCCTCCTACCTTCCTTGTTCATGTATTTGACTCGGCCCCTGCTACCCTTTCTGTACTACTCTAAGCGTTATTGCCCACACTGTCTCAAGCCTTTGATGGCACGCATAGTCAAGCTTCGCTAAGTAGGCTCCTAAAAAGTATGATTCTCAAACTGGATCGGAGACTAGCTCGAGGCTAAAGCCCCTGCCTAATTCTCATGGTCAATCCTCTGCTTCATGAACCACGTATATGGTTAAATAGGCCTACTGTCAGCCAACTAGCTCTAGCCTCTGCTGCATCTATCCTGTTTCTATCCCTAATACCGAATATATGACTTCCTATGTCCCAGACTCTTGGGTGCCAACCCGCAAATGTGGTGATTATACCTGTTTTGATTAGGTTCAATGTCGAACCACAACGTTAGCACACAAGAGATTAGGGCATAGGAAGTCAGAGACTTGACATTATGGATAGAAGCACGATAGATGCGGCGGAGACCAGAGCTAGTTGGCTACCAGTAGACGTGTTTGATAATAGACGTGACAGACTCTGATCAACATTTCCAGTACAACTGTAAAGGGGGGGTTAGAAAGCCAGCTTGGGGTTTGGAGAGTTCTCATAAAATCCGCTAAAAAAGTACACTATACCATATTTAAATAAGAAATTGGGATAATCAAGAGGTGATATGAGGATATAAGATTGGTGAATATCCCAGGGCAGGAAGGATACCACAAATGTTTAGCAGACAATTGGTCAATAAATCGGCTTCACTTGTCTCTTTGACGAGTTGTAGTGTGAGGCTAAGAATTGGAAGGCTCACTGACGATGCCAGTGATTGTCTGGGAATTTACCAAGTCCACTGTCCGCCTCTGGAAATATCATGCATGCTATGGTCTCAGGACTAGGTGCGTTTCTCTAGGTCTTCCTACCAATATGACCAGGTTGCAAAAACAGGGTCACACAACTTCAATCCGCAATATAGTATGAGAAGATCACAAGTTAAGTTCTTATAGGTCTCCAATTAGATAAGAATATAATATAAAAGAATATTCTGAGCTTTGTATCAAAAATATAATTTTTGAATAATAACTTGGTCACTCTAGGCCGCTTCAAATAATTTAATGAAAATGGTCTACTCTATAATGCACTAGTATCCATGGCTGATAGTCTCGAAAACAATTTTGAAGATGAGAAATTAAAAAATAATGGTCTTACCATTTCCACAGTTTGGCCCGAGTAGGCAAGAGGTGGGCGTCCAGAGTAGTGGAGGGCCGACTGACTGCCCGCAGGCAGCAACTTCTTGGAAGTGATGACGCAATTCCAGCTCAGCCTTTTCTACCAAATCAAGACCAAATGGCACCAGGAGTCTATAAAATAGCTTTTTCTGTAAGCGCCGTCTACCAAAACGCGTTGACCTCAGAAGACGCATCCTTAATAGGAAAGCTTCCAACTGAGCGCTGATGCAACCAGCTGCAGCGCTAGATGATTGTTTTTTTTCTGAGTGACGTTCTAACCAAGAAATCTCAGGTTGAAATGCTCCTATAAAGGTGTGTCAAATAGACACATATATGAGACAATAAAAGTACCTAGAATGTCATGAGGACATGTAAAGTAAATATTAAAGAAAAACAATCGAAAATCACAAAAAAGCAATGTAAATATACCCTAAGTATCCTGATAAACATAAGCGAAGACAAGCCAAAACCAAACAGCAAACAATAATGGAGACTACAATAATATACAAAACCACACCATTAAAGCTGGAGTATTAGAACGATATGATCTATTTAAAGATATATATAATCGTTTTCCCTTGAAAATATCTTATTCATATCTCGGAGATTTACTATGAGTAAGTAGTATTGAAATGAGGTAATTTGAAGGTTCTAGCTTACTAGTAGGCGGTATTTTTACCTAAAGGCTAACGATTCCTAATTGACATGTCAAAATGAGCATCTCTATGTAAATTTGATAGAAACGGTTTAAAAATTTGTCTATACATAGATCAATGACTATAAATAAAGTCTTCATCCCTATCCCTGATTCATATTAGCGAAGAAGGCATTTATTTCCTGTAAGCAGATAACAAACCTTAAATAAGGCTAAAACTAAAGTGACGGAATAATGAAAAGGGAGTGAATTATATTCGTTTAACAGAGAGAATGCACCGAAAAGTAAATGAATATACCGAATATTACGTATAAAATAAGATGAGCAGATTTAAAATGAAAAGATTTTTCACAAAACTTAATTGGCAGAATAAGGAATTCTACTCGAAATATTCTTCGGTATTTGATGGTTAAATAACTAAATAAAAAAGGAATGTCTTATCATTAATGGACTTGAATGGAAAAGAAATAAAGATGCAGGAGTATTTATGATACTTTTGGCTCAAGGTAAAATGCATGGTAAAAT